TATATATATATATATATATGGTTGGATTCACGTGAGACCAGTTTGTTTTCATGAGACCGTTTTTTTATATTTGAAACTTTACATTAAAACGTTTTGCAGCAAGAACACTGTAAAGGTTACCTTTACGATGTTTTGTTATGAAGTTTCAAATGTAAAAAAAGGTAATCTCACGGGTCTCGTGAAAACAAGTTGATTTCCAAGTCTCTCTCTCTATATATATATATATATATATATATATATGTGTGTGTGTGTGGATATAGATATAGATGTATGTATGTAAGTGAAAACGTTGAGTGAATAGAAAACTTAAAAGCAATTCAATGTTGGGAAAGAAAAAAGAAGAATCCAAAAATGGAAAGAGAAGAAAAGAAAAGAAAAACCCAAGGAAAGGCTGCTTCTCTACTGACACCATTATGATTATGATTACAGATTTCATCTTTTTCTATCTCTTTTTTTTTCTATACATTGATTCTTATTTATGCTTACTAGACTGCTAATAAAAATCTTTTTATAGCTACGGAGGTTCAAATGCGATGACTTCAGGCTACCCACAAACCAAAGGGTCGTCTTGGGATTAGCCGGCTATATATTTTATGAATGATTTATGAAGAGTTCTTGAAAAATGACTTAATTGTCTTTTGTGTTTTTATCTTTTGTTTTTGTCAATGGAATCGTAGTTTTTGGTCTACTAAAAGGTTAGGGGTTCAAACCTCATCAAATATGATAAGGGTGTATAAATTTATTTGTTACATTTATCGTATATAGTTATTATATACTTCAAAAAAAATATCATATTTTTTAATTAATTTATCTTATGATTGTAAAAAAAACTGTTGGTGGTTTTTTCATAAGTTAAACAAGAAATTATTTAATGTGAGTCCTTTAATACCATCGTTTCATGAAGGAGACTCTGTAACTCCATTTCTTTTTGGGTAGTTCAAGACATGTTCAACATTTTTTATGCTTCCAATCATATATATATATATATATATATATATATATATATATATGGAAGGGTTCAAACTAGAACAATTTCATTTTACGAAAATGTGAGAACACCTTTTTATAATAGACAATCACATGTGATATTATTATTTCATCATATATGATACACATGTGATACTAAATCAGAGACACGAGCGGTTTTCGACACGATCTTGGTTGCGGGCCAAGTCGCCCTTACACCACTAAGCCTCCTCACATGTACTATCACATTTGATAAGTGTGTTGTTGATATGATACTATAATCCTTTAAGGCCATTACATGTGATGCTAAATCATAGACACAGACAACCTTTGACGCGGCCTAAGTCGTAGAACACGTCTTCCGCATACCACCAGGTCCCCTCATGTGTATTATCACATGTGATAAGGGTGTTCTTGTTTGAACCTATATATATATATATGTGTGTGTGTGTGTGTGTATATATATATATATATATATATATAAAGAGGGAGATTCATACAATAATAGTAACAAAAAAGAACATAAAATTAAACAACCGAATTACATATGGTTTTATACCAAAATCAAGTGTAAATCATATGTGATTTGGTAGTTTTTTTGTTCTTTTATTTTAATTGTGTTCTTCTTTAATCCTCCATATATATATATATATATATATATAGGGTTGGGTTCACGTGAGACCAAGAATTTTTCGTGAGATCCATAAGAACAATTTATGTTCATTGATCAACTTTATAAGCTAATGATCTAATGGTCTAAAGTTGTACGGTGACAATTTTGTGATTATTGAGAAGTCTCGTGACAATTTTGTGATTATGAATGTTCATATTATAGATCTAATCCAAGGGTTGAGAATTGGTCTTACGGGTCTCACGAAAAACACTTGGTCTCACATGATCCCAAGTCTATATATATAGTCAAAGATTATTTTGAGAAGTAAAGAAGTGATCATAGTCTTTCATACAGTCAAGATCGGATTTTGACTAGTCAATAATTGCAGCTTTGATTGGTCAAAAGTTGCGGCTATAAGAAAAATAGAGAGAGTAGTTTCGTAACTTTTATAAATAGACGGAGAACGGGTTCATGTATGAACATATGTGATTTATATATGAACTAATTAACTGATTCATATATGAATCATAAATAGTTCACATGTGAACTATTTAACGGGTTTACATGTGAACCCATGTGATACACATATAAACTATACGGTTAATGAACTCGTTTGTCATATAGTTTATATAAACTATACACATATAAACGTATAGTTTATATGTGTATCACATGGGTTCACATATGAACTCGTTTGTCGCTTATTTTAAAAGTTGTACAATTAACCCTCTATCTTTCGCATAACCATGTGAAGAATTATCTGATGCTTCATAGTCAAAGCCACAAATAGTGACTAGATGAATGGCCAAGATTAATATTCTTTACTTCTTAAATATTTACCATTTCTCAAATAAACTTTTCCATATATGTATATGTATATGTATATGTATATGTATATGTGTAACGATTAATGAATGAGGATTACGGCTGGTATTCTATTTTATTTGAGTTTTACTTTTAAAAAGATGTTTTTGCTTTGATGAAGTATACATTTTTTAATTAGAATTATATGCTTAGATTCCTCAAAATCTTTTAATTAATTTTGAAGTAGGACTTAGATTTGATGCATATTATGTATTTAAGATTGAGTATATATATATATATAGTTGGGTTCACGTGAGAACAATGGTTTTTCGTGAGACCCGTAAGACCAATTTATGTTCATTGATCAACTTTATAAGCTAATGATCTAATGGTCTAAAGTTGCACGGTGACAATTTTATGATTATTGAGAAGTCACAGTATATGTATTTTTTAATAAAAATAAGTAATTGTATATTTATTATTTTAAATTACTTTATTAATATACAATATTATAACATTTTTCTTGGGTCATGGTTTTATTTAAAGGTTTATGTTGTTGGTCTTAGTCATTATAACTTTGTTGATGATATTAATTTTACATTTTATTAAATATTAGATCGGTGGAATCTTTAAAAACCTCATTTTTCATATTTTCGTTGTTACTTCGTTAAGAGCATCAACAATGGAACCAGTTCTTGTTGAAGCTTTTTAACAACGTTCGTTGTAGAACAGATGTTCTTGTTCTGTCACATGTTGTTATAAAATCTCGAGTGTTTGAACAAGAAACCAGTTCTTGTCTACATTTCTTTTTTATTATTTTTATTATTTCTTGAATAAGAAACTGGTTCCTACAAGAACCCATGTTCTTGTCTACATGTCTAGGTTTTTAGATCGAGGATGCTGACTTCGATGATGCTCGATAACCTGATGGGAGGTTGATGGACATTTGGCATGCTCGAGTGTGTGGATATACACATGGTTGATAAGTGCAAAACTAATCAAATTCTAATAAGCAGCAATGTTTCTAGTTCACGTAGAGTTTACAAGCTGAAAATTCTATTACTGAATATTATGGCATAACTGTATTGTTTAAGATACTGAGGACATAGAGTTCACTGACAGGGAAAGAACTTATAATGGTAGAGTCGCTTTTGTTTGGGTCCAACTCAAAGAATTAATTACAGTGTGAGACACGAATATCAGATTCAAACTTCAAACATTATAAATAATTATAAAGTAATTCTGATAAATTAATTACATAATACTGATTAAGATAAAGATACAAAAAGTAGTTAATTAAAGAGCCCACCTTGGTCCTATTGCCTTGTGTAATCATTGGGCAAATATATTAATAGGTTAACATTGTAAAACTGTTCTTGATTTCTTGAACATCTAAGATATGATTTAAGGATCATGTTTTCAAGATCTTTGGGACCATGTACATTTCAACCGTTATTACTGATGAATATTATATTATAAAGTATTTGACAAAAATTCTTAAAACCCATTTTTTATGCATTAAGTATTGTTTATTGATGCATGTTACTTAAAATTCAAGATTACAAGTAAATTATGCATAAATACAACTTATTAAGGGGTGTTTGGGATTGCTTATAAAAGTTGTTTTTTAACTTATTCCAGTCTGACACTGGTGATAAGTTGTTTCCTGGTGTTTGGATAAGAAAAAAAATTCCTTATACCGGTAATAAGCTGTTTTTGATAAGTTAATCATTCCCGACTTATGAAAAATTGTTTATTATCATATTACAATTTTAATCTTGTTTTATTTAACTCCGGTTTGATACCACGTAAGCTAATAAGCACTTTTACAAAAAAAAACATAAGTTGTAAAATAAACAATTCCAAACACCCCCTAAAGCTTCATGCTTGAATTGTGTAACTAACTAAGGATAAACATAATCAAATAGAGGATAAACATCTCATTTTAAAATATAAAAAAATATAAAATATAATTAGAATAATTATTGAATTCTAACAAAATAGTTAGTTATTATCTTTATAAGAAAATTATATTATTAAATCAAATATAGATTACTTTGTTATTGAATCTAAATTAAATTATAATAAAAAAATTGAATTAAAAAATTACCCAAAAAATTGAGGAATTTTAAATAGTTAATTTGCTACTAATGTCGATATACTTTTGTCACATTTTTATGATATCTTCAAATTTATATTTTATTCAAAAATAAAAACATTATCGTTTTTTCAAAATCATATAAGACCATATTATAACATCGACTGAGATAAAAAAATTAAAATCAAGATGTATCTCACTGTATTACGCAAATATCATTCTAGTATATTATTACTTT